TGTTGTCCTCACACTGAGGAAAAACACAGGAGTGTTTGAAATATTTGTGATTTAATAAATTATATTGCTTCTAGTATGTTTACAACTCATAGCTGTTTTTTATTGCTGTCTTTCTATATTCTATTTATCGAAGCAAACGTGGAATCTTCATCTTTTAATTAATTAATTAATATATATATATATATAATGTGTAGGTGTGTGTGTTAGTATTATGTAACCATATTACATACTGTGATTTACTTATATTTACCTACATCAGTGATTTTATAATATGCTAATGTTCATTATCACTTTCTTCATCATTATCACTTTCTGATGAATCAGAAACACTAGAAAACAAGATTATGTCATTAAAATGCAGTATTCAATTGGAAATTCACTCATAACAATGACAACAATAGTCAACTAAATATTGTACACATTTATGAGCTATTACAATTTAAAATGGCTGCCATTTTCCATTATTTTAGCTTTTTAGCATACATATTAATATAATAATAACCGATCTGTACCGTAAAACGAAAACGTGTGATAGAGCTAGTTATATGCAATTGCCATATGCTGTTAATTGTTGTCCTCACACTGAGGAAAAACACAGGAGTGTTTAAAATATTTGTGATTTAATAAATTATATTGCTTCTAGTATGTTTACAACTCATAGCTGTTTTTTATTGCTGTCTTTCTATATTCTATTTATCGAAGCAAACGTGGAATCTTCATCTTTTAATTAATTAATTAATTAATTAATATATATATATATATATATAATGTGTAGGTGTGTGTGTGTTAGTATTATGTAACCATATTACATACTGTGATTTACTTATATTTACCTACATCAGTGATTTTATAATATGCTAATGTTCATTATCACTTTCTTCATCACTATCACTGTCTGATGAATCAGAAACACTAGAAAACAATGGAATGTTGTTGCAGGAACTCCCTTGCGCTTCGCAGTTACACATCTCAGTACACTGACGATTATTAATTTTCTTCTACACATGCATGTATTATTTGAACATGTAGGCCTACATATTGAACAGGTAAATCTGTTAAGCTCAGCAACTGCCTCAGGGGCAGCCTGCTTTTCTGACAAGACAGGTCTCAATTTATCATCTTCCACAAACCAGCCCAGTTTGCATGGATCAGGGATTTCTGGATGAATAAAAGTATCCTGGCTCCATATATTGGCCTGCAGGTGTGCATGTTATATGCTCATATAAGGCTCCTGCAGTTGGTGGCAGCTTATCTACACCTTGATTGTTTGGCAGAGTTTTGAATCTTTTCCATCGTAAAGTTGAAGCATCTTTAGCAGATACTTTCTTCTTTCCGAGAAGACTAAACAAATTGCAGTATTCATGCCAAGTTGTGGAAGTCTTCTGAAGATCAATACAAACCAGTCTGTATCATTCCCAGATTCAGAGGCCACTTCTATGCCATGGGGAATCATCAGCTTCTTCTTGTGTGCTTACAGCTGTTGTTGAAGGATGTTCTGGAGTGTTTGTTTTGACATCTTGCCGTGTGAATTGTGACAGGTACCACTGAAACCAGAAGAAGAGTGGCTCTTCAGCCAATGGACGATCATCTTGGACCAGAAAGAGTAGTGACATTACCAGGCTTCCATGCTATCACCGGTTGTGATAAAAATATTACAGGGCATATTAATGGTGTTGGAAAAAAACAGCCCTTAAGATGTTTATGAAATCACCACCTCATGTTTACATGCTTTGGCCAAGCGTGTGGGGAAGGGAATATGCCATCATTAATGTGAGAATGGGATGCAAGGAGTTTTTGTGTAGTCTTCTCTGAACGAAGAAAGTATCTGCTAAAGATGCCTCAATTTTACGATGGAAAGGGTTCAAAACTCTGCCAAACAATCAAGGTGTAGATAAGCTGCCACCAACTGCAGGAGCCTTATATCAGCATATAACATGCACATCTGCAGGCCAATATATGGAGCCAGGATATTTTTATTCATCCAGAAATCCCTGATCCATGCAAAATTGATGGTAAATTGAGACCTGTCTTGTCGGAAAAACAGGCTGCCCCTGAAGCAGTTGCTAAGCTTATCAGATGTACCTGTTCAATAAGTACATGTTCAAATAATACATGCATGTGTAGGAGAAATAATCTTCAGTGTACTGAGATGTGTAACCGCGAAGCGGAAGGGAGTTCCTGAAACAATATTCCATTGTTTTCTAGTGTTTCTGATTCATCAGACAGTGACAGTGATGAAGAAAGTGATAATGAACATTAGCATATTATAAAATCACTGATGTAGGTAAATATTAAGTAAGTCACAGTATGTAATATGGTTACATAATACTAACACACACACCACCCACACATTATATATATGTATTTATATGTATATATAATATATATATATATGTATATATATATATGTATATATATACATATATAAATATATATACATATGTATAACATAGGTAAGCACGTGTGTTCAAAGTAAGATAGAAAAATATGGAGACGATGGTAAATGAAAATACGGACATCGAAGGTAGACTTAAGGAACACAAAAATATTTATTTATAAGTTTCACGTATATTTCGGTTGTTCCTACAACCTTCTTCAGCGTGTGAGTGAAGACATAATCAAATAGCTTAGACAGATCATCTTGTCACATTAACATAGTAATAAAGGGTGTATCTAAAATAACAAATAGTTTATACATGGCACTGTTGATGTCTATGAGAGTAAATAATGAAAGTAGAGAGCTAAACATAGTGGCCCATACAAAATGAATGAAATACACAGAAAAAAATTGAACTGTTATAGTTAGTCCAATCTCAGAACTATAAGTGATAAATAAAAAAATAATACAAAGTTACAAAATAGAGTGAAATAAGCAAAACTAGGTATCAAGTAGCCCAATCTTAGGATGTTAAATACAAGATAAATAATGTAATAATCTGGTGG